GCAACAACAACGGCAACAACAGCAGCCAACCCAACATAAGCTCACAACTTATAAGTGAAGTGCAGAACAGACTGCTCATACCAGCATGCTATCCATCTAGACGATGAAGCTTGAGACGATAGTTTAACACAGAACATGCTACAGCACTCGGCATTTGACTCTTTTTCACTGTCGGCCTGGAGAGCTCTTCCGGGCTGCAGCCGAAGCCCCAGAAAGGGCGGCCAGGAGAGTTCCCCATCAGGGGTCCTTGGTGGCTTTGGGTCCGCAAGGGGTTGAGGGGGTTAGGGTCTCAAGGGCTTTAGCATGTGGCTTGGGGTTTGATTTCATGACCGCATGACCTTAATAAAATTGTAGTTGTGGCAACCGGAGGGAGAGAGTTGAGAGAGTATGTAGACGGGGAGGGGGCGTTTAGACGTTGGGGCCTACAAGGTTTGAGGGACTTGCGGCCGTTTCAAACCCGAGGAATTTGGCTATTAGGGCTTAGATTCCGGTCCAGCAGATCCAAGCAGCTTGAGCAGGACGTCTCGAGCCCCTGCAACTCGCCCTCCACCTGTCTTCTGCTAGCCCAGGCATGCATACCTTTATATAGTGGGTTGCTATCCCTGTATAATGATGGCTCATTAACCCAAAACGTCGGGAAGTGGGCTTCTTGAGTAGTAGTCTCCGCTCGAGTATTATGCCGCGAAAAAGATACTAAGTCGCCGGGCCGTCCGTCCCAATGGAGCTTTGCGAGCACATCGGCTGCGATCGTGTACAATCGTTCAGCGTCCATGTGCCCAAATAGTATATACTTTGACCCCAAAGTATCTAGATAGGGACTGCTTTAAGGCCAAAGTATATACTATTCGGGAACTGGACCCTGATACCCTAAACTCTTATGTTACCCTTGCAGAACCCTGAATAGCACCCCCTTCAAGGGAACGCTTATGGGTACATGGTCCCGACGGGCTTCCGGGAGTTTAAGAGTTTAAGGCTCGGAGGATAGGTTCGGTCAGGGCTTGGAATTTGGGATTCAGGGTTTGCAGCAGAGCCCCGAACAGTTGAAGCCCCGCCATCCACGTCCACGCTCTAAACCCCTGAAATTCTGACCCCTGAAATGCTGCAACCCCTCACAAACCCTAAACACCCATGAGCCTCCTAAATCCTAAACCCCGAAACCCTAAATCCCTGGACGCCCTGAACCCCTCAGCCCCAAGCCCTTAAAAGTACCCCCCCGAAGCCCGGACCCCTAAACCTTTAAACCCTAAAACCCCAAACCCTAACCCTTAAATCCTAAAAGCCTAAAACCCTAAACCCTTAAAACCCTTAAAACCCTTGAACCCCAAAACCCTGAACCCCTAAACCTCCACATGGTGCATGGTTCCAACGAGCTGGGCCTCGGCCACCAGAAGCTCCAACCTTCGGTGTCTTTGCGTCGATCTACCTATATATCTGTATACCTATCTATCTGACTAGCAATCTATCTATCTATCTATCTATCTATCTAACTATCTACCTATCTACCGATCTATCTATCTATATAGCTATCTATCTGTCTATCGATCTATCTATCTATTATCTATCGACCTACCTATCCATCTATCCATCTATCCATTTATCTATCGTTCTTTCTATCTATATGTCTATCTATCTGACTATCAAATTATCTATACATCTGACTATCTGTCGATCTATCTCTCTATCTATCCGTCTATCTATCTACCCGTCTATCTACCTATCTATCTATCTGTCTGTCGATCTATTTTTCTATCTATGGGTTTATCTATCTATCTATCTATCTATCTATCTACCCATCTGTCTATACATCTATGTATCCATATAGCTATCGATCTATCTACCTACCTATCTATTATCTATCGACCCACCTATCCATCTATACATCTATTTATCTTTCTATCTATCTATCTATCTATCTATCTATCTATGTATCTATCTATCTATCTGTCCAATGTCGTTTATCTAACTGTCTAGCTTTTACACATTCGTCTATGTAACTATCTTTCCATGTGTGTGTGTATATATATATACACACACATGGATAGTTAGGTAAAGGCATAGGCATATAGGTCTAGGTATTTGTATGTGGGTGTATAGGCGTAGATATAGGCCTAGATATAATTATAGGCTAGGTATGTGTACATAAATACACGCACATATTCTTTGTGTGCTCTCATATGAACGTGTGGGTGAGGAGGGTCGGGGGATGACTGTTCCGCGCTTGCAGGTGTCAGGGTTGGGGTCTCGAATTTGGAGTTGTCAGGGTGTTTGGCCTCTAAACCCTAAATCCTAAACCCCTAAACCCTAAACCCCTAAACCCTAAACCCCTAAAACCTACACCCCTAAACCCTAAACCCCTAAACCCTAAACCCCTAAACCCCAAACCCCTAAACCCTAAACCCTACAACCCCAAGCCCTAAACCCTCTTGGGCCTCAGAGTCTAAAACTTTGAGGGCTCAGGCTCACATCCGCAAAGGGGGCAAGTCAGTCAGCCAGCTACGTCTCTCTATCCCTGTACCCGTAGATCCTTATTCTGAGGCGACTCATCGGGCTTCCTAATTACTATAGGTACTTTATGGTTTTATAAGGTTTAGGGTTTAGGGTTTAGGGTTTGTGGATTAGGGTTTAGGGTTCGGGGACTCGGGTTTAGGGGCTTATAGGGTTTGGGGGGTTTGGGAATAGATATGGGTACATGGCCCCTTTAGGGTTTTCAAGCAGAGTCGCTCTGCCAAGGCCAGCCGAGATGATGGCGAGCCGAAGGTGGCAGCACCAACGCCGAAGGAAGCAGTGCGTGGGACATCTGCGTTGCCGGGCCAGGTCCTGGTAGAATAGGGGCCTTCAGAGCTAGTATACGGCTTTGTGGTATTTTATGGTATGAATGGTACGTTCCCAGTCAAGTATAAAATCATAGAATTTTGCTGAGGATGCAAAATTGGAGATTATTTCGGCTTCTATTTCATTGTGGTGCACAAGTCCTCGGCCAGTTTTGAAGGCCAAGGTCTGGTAAATGCAAGCTCTGACCACTTTTTATCAACTTCCCCTGTCATGAACTCCCAGGCTACAAGGGCCTCCTTGCTAGGTTACGTCCCGTGATCCTCCAAGTTACCAGAAACTCCACTGCCGCCTATCTGGACAGGGGTTCAACTTTACGAGCGGCTCATTTTAGATTCCGCAGGAGAAGGTTGACAAACTTTACCCTAGGGCTCCAAGTATACAAATAGTACCTACTTTGGGGTCTGAAGTCTGTAAGTAGTACCTACATTGGGCTATTTGGAGCCCCAGGGTTATGCTCTCAAAAAGGAGACAAACGCAACTATATGTGGCCGCAGCAGCTTGCAAGACGTTGGAGCTTCCGGATGGCCAAGGCACCTGCTGTCAGGCGTGGACCGCAGGCTGCGCAGCGTGACCGGCGTGGCGGTGGAAGCGCCCGGCGTGGCAACGCTGAGTTCATCCTCGGACTGGCACCCCTAAACCCTAAAATACTAAACCCTAAACAAGGAATGTCAGAGTTGCTAGGCTTAGAAATGCGACCTTGCATCAGAGCTTAAGGAAGTTCCGGAAACCCCCAACCAGACCCTAAACCCTAAACCCTAAAACCCTAAACCCTAAAACCCAAACCCCAAACCCCAAACCAGCCCCTGAAGCATCTGAGTGCAGATTTTTGGAGAGCGGGAGTAGGGAGAAAGGGCTTCCGCAGCTTCGGGGATGCCTTGCGGAGCCCCTACGCTCTGGGAGCATCCAGGATGTCAGAGGGTTTAGGGTTTAGAGTTTAGGGTTTAGGGTTTATAAGGTTTAGGGTTTAGGGTTTAGTGTTTAGCTCTGGGAGCCTCCAGGATGTCAGTCATGAGGGTTTAAAGCTTTCGGGGTTTTAAGTCTTTGGGATTTCAGGCTTTTCGGGTTTAGGTCCTAAGTTTAGGTCTTTGGGGTTGAGGGTTTAAGCTCATGTGGGGATTTTGGGCTCTGGGTTTAGTTAAGGCCTTGTAGTCTTGAGAATCCTGGCTGGTCGTTGCTGCCCAAGAGTCTACAAGGTCTATAGCCCGGCAACTGTAATTTCAAACAAGACCCCAACGTTGTCTGTTGTGTGTGAGACGTGATCGAAGGGCTGAACAATCAACACCCTGAACCATGAAATCCTGCACCCCCTAACCCACCCACCCCACTGCCCATGATACTGTTGATGGACAAAATTCTGCATGACCCAATATAGTATAGTACCATAAATCCCATAGTTTATGTATATAAAGTCATGCAGGATTTTGTCCATCGACCGTATTGTTGTGGAAACAGGGCGGACCTGCCTTGAACAACAAAGACTAAACCAAACCTCTGAAATCATGCACGCACAAGGCTAAACCCCAAAGCCGCGATTGCACCGATGTGGCAGACAGAAACGTTGGTCTTGGAAACGGCGAGTTTCATGATAAGGCGATACCCGCAGTAATCAACAAACTCGAGAAAAACAGCTATGATAGCCACTACCAGGACCCTAAACCCTAAACCCCAAACCCTAAACCTTAAACCGTTTTATGCTCAACATTTCGCGGTTCACGAAGCGTGAGGCTTAGAGTCTCGGTTTCAGGGCTAGCAACTTCTACTCACTGTTGTACCTCTAGTCACTTTAGTCTCCATTCGAGTCTTTTTGTTTGATTAAACAAATTCTATATCTAGGATCCTAGAAGGTAACCGCAATGGAGACTATAGGTACTTGTTGCTTCCTTTCTCAGCCTCATACACCCTTGGGCTTGAACCTCCTCGCCTTTTGAGAGCCCCGGGAGTGTCTTGCGTTGTGCACTACTGTAGAGCCCTTGGCACCAAACACCCCTAAGCCCTAAACCCTAAACCCTAAACCCCCCTCCCCTCATAAAGGATCATCCTGCCAAGACAGCACCGCCCTTTCTTTAAAGATGTGAAGGGCAACAATGAGGGGTCTACCTTTGCTCTTGACTCCAAGGGACAGCGAAAAATGCAGCACGCTTCGGCGATGACGCGTACGGGGATCTTTCCGACATGACTGCCTGGGCGAACATGAAGTTAGGGTGCGCATATATATATATATATAATTTTATATATATATATATTATAATTATATATATACACAATATAAAAGAGAGAGAGAGAGAGAGGGAGAGAGAGAGAGAGAGCGAGAGATTCCGAGCTGAGGCTACCCTGACACCCCAGGCCCGAAGCTACCCCGTAAGAACAGCTAAGGCCGCAGCAAATCGAAGCTTCTGTTTTCTAGAGCCTCTTCATAGTTTTTCAATATTTTGAACAAAGAAACGCATCCAGACAGGAACGCAGAGGGTGTAGTTCACAGGGATCAAGGCTCCAGGGTGGAGGGATTTAGGCCTTCCAAACTGAAAAAATACAAGGGCCAGATGGGTTTAGGGTTTAGGGTTTATAAGTTTCTAACTTGGGAAAATACATGGGCCATATGGGTTTAGGATTTCGGGTTTGGGGAATAACTATATGGGTTTAGCCTTTGCTAGGAGTCGGCTCTGCAAGGAGCCCTGGAACTAAAGGGTTCCCGCTGCTAGGGTTTAGGGTGTAGGGTTTAGGGGTTTGGGGCTGAGGATTTGGGGTTGAGGGTTTAGGGTTTAGGGCTGAGGGTTTAGGGTTGAGGATTTAGGATTTAGGGTTGAGGGTGTAGGGTTGAGGGTTTAGGGTTGTGGGCTTAGGGTATGCTCTGGTTCCCTGCATCCCGAAGCTTCATCCCTAAACCCTACACCGGCAGAGCTGGATGTAACTAGCAAAATTCTCCAAAGCAAGATCAAGAAGGCCCTAAACCCTAAACCCAAAACCCTATAACCCTAAACTCTCTAACCCTAAACCCTAAAACCCGATTAATAACCCGAAACCCTAAAACCCTCAACCCCAAGCCCTAAACCCTATAACCCGAAACCCTAAAACCTAAAACCCTAAACCCTATAACCCGAAACCCTCTAACCCTAAACCCTAAAGCCCTCTCAATAACCCGAAACCCTAAAACCCTCTGCTATCGGATCAAAGGGCTTCCGAAAATAGGGGGCCCAAATATAGTACCCTAAATAGTAGGATCCTTATTATAAGGACCCCAAAATAAGGTACCCTAATTTTCGGAAACTCCCATCTCCTGCTGACAAGGGAACTTGGGGATGGCTGGCACTGCCCCCGTTTCGGCCGCTCTGACATGGCAGCTGCGGTTGCCCAAAGTCCTGCGACCTCGGCTCAATAAGGTATCAAAATGAATAGGTTTAGGGTTTAGGGTTTAGGGTTTAGGGTTTGGGGTTTGGGGTTTAGGGTTTGGGGTTTAGGGTTTAGGGGTTTAAGGGTTTAGGGTTTAGGGCTTAGGGTTTGGGAAAAGACCAGTGTCATAGGCAGTATTGCTACCGCATGAGTCCTCAGGCGGAATCCTGATATTGCAGGACCCAAGCTCAAGCCTAAACCTTAAGTCTCCAACTCTAAACCCTTTAAAAGGCACCCTTTCCAGGAGCCCCTTAAAGGAAGCCCAAAAGGAACTCTCAAAGGCACCCTTTAAAGGAGCCCTTAAAGGAAGCCCAAAAAGAACCCTTAAAGCAAGCCCAAAAGGAGCCCTTGCAGGCACCCTTTTGGGGAGCCCTTAAAGTGCCTAAAGTTCCTGGGCCCAGCGGCACTTCCGCATGCGCCGCATTTCTTGCGATCCTCGGCCTCCAACAGGGCGGGCCAAACCCCAACGAGCCTGAAACCCTGCGACTATACCAGGGTTTAACGGTTTAGGGTTTAGGGTTTAGGGTTTGGTGTTTATAGGGTTTGACGGTTTAGGGTTTAGGGCTTTTAGGGTTTAGGGTTTGGTGTTTATAGGGTTTAACGGCTTGGGGTTTAGGGCTTTTGGGGTTTGGTGTTTAATACCAGGGTTTAACGGTTTAGGGTTTAGGGCTGTTAGGGTTTAGGGTTTGGTGTTTATAGGGTTTAACGGTTTCGGGTTTAGGGCTTTTGTGTTTAATACCAGGGTTTAACGGTTTAGGGTTTAGGGCTGTTAGGGTTTAGGGTTTGGTGTTTATAGGGTTTAACGGTTTGGGGTTTAGGGCTTTTAGGGTTTAGGGTTTGGTTTTTATAGGGTTTAACGGTTCAGGGTTTAAGGCTTTTAGGGTTTAGAGCTTGGTGTTTATAGGGTTTAACGGTGTAGGGTTTAGGGCTTTTAGGGATTAGGGTTCGGTGTTTGTAGGGTCTATCGGTGTAGGGCTTAGGGCTTTTAGGGTTCAGGGTTTGGTGTTTATAGGGTTTAACGGTTTGGGGTTTAGGGCTTTTAGGGTTTAGGGTTCGGTGTTTGTAGGGTTTAACGGTTTCGGGTTTAAGGCTTTTGGGGTTTAGGGTTTGGTGGTTTTATAGGGTTTAACGGTTTAGGGTTTAGGGCTTTTAGGGTTTAGGGTTCGGTGTTTGTAGGGTTTAACGGTTTCGGATTTAAGGCTTTTGGGGTTTAGGGTTTGGTGCTTGTAGCGTTTAACGGTTTAGGGTTTAGGGCTTCTAGGGTTTAGGGTTTGGTGTTTATAGGGTTTAACGGTTCAGGGTTTAGGGCTTTTAGGGTTTAGAGCTTGGTGTTTATAGGGTTTAACGGTTTAGGGTTTAGGGCTGTTAGGGTTTAGGGTTCGGTGCTTGTAGGGTTTATCGGTGTAGGGTTTAGGGCTTTTGGGGTTTAGGGTTTGGTGTTTGTAGGGTTTAACGGTTTAGGGTTGAGGGCTTTTAGGGTTTAGGGTTGGGTGTTTATAGGGTTTAACGGTTTAGGGTTTAGGGTTTGGTGTTTATAGGGTTTAATGGTTTAGGGTTTAAGGCTTTTAGTGTTTAGGGTTTGGTGTTTGTAGGGCTTAACGGTTTAGGGCTTAGGGCTTTTAGGGTTTAGGGTTTGGTGTTTAGGTTTCATGAAGGATCAGGGTTCAGGACTTATAAAGGATAAGGGCTTAGCGCTCAGGGTTAAGGGACAGGGGCTTCGGTGGTTTGTGGGCATAATATCGGGCGCTAGGGAAAGGACTTTGCAAGGCTTTATGAAGCTTTTCAAGATTTAACATAGCGTCCTGAATAGTCCAGTCAAGCAATTTAAAGAAGATTTTGGTACAGATTGTAATAGGGGTATAAGCTATCCCAAAGGGTTCAATGCATCGTGCAGCACCCAATAAACTGGGGAATTGGGTTTAGGCAAGCAACGTGGGATCGTAGTGTGGAGAGGACTCAGCTACCTTAACCTACCAAAACCTACTCTTTTGTAGGTTCTTATTATAAACCCTAATATGGAATTTATAGGGACCCTACAAAAAAGCAGGTTTTGGCAGGTTAAGGCATGCTTAAGAGGGACTTGGATCCTGGGCTAATGGAAGGCCTTACCGGCCCTAGAAGCGCAGATAACAAGAATCGCAAGACCCCTTGGCCACTCTCCTACCTAAAGTTTAAGGTTTGGGAGCCTGAAGAACCCTGCATATCCTTTCACGACATTTTTGCAGGCTGTCACGGGCGCGGACTGTGCGACATGACTTTGCAGAAATCCTAAACTCCTGTACAATCACTCGTCTCCTGAACAAGTTTACACTTAAGCAAGGAAAGCTGGAACACGGGTCAAGGATGATTGACCCGAGAATCCCCCGAGCTTCATACCTCAGGGCACATGGAACAAGATGTTGCAACGTTCTGCTAATGCCTTCTATGCAAAACTGCTCCAAAGCTTCGACACTAAACCGCCCTGAACCCTAAACCCGAAAAAACATGAACCCTAAACCTCTACACCCTAAAAACCCTAAAACACCCAAAAACCCTAAACCACCCTTCACCCCAGTCTTTTCGCCCCCCAAAATCCCTTGAATGGCTCGGCCTTGGGGAGGCCGCAATGAGATCCATGTTGCTGAAGAGCTGCTCTGAAACTGTCCTTTTGGGTTTAGGGTTTAGGGTTTCTCTGAAACTGTCCTTTTGGGATTGAAATTTTGGGGCCTACTGTCCATTTTGGGGCTGAGGGTTACGAGTTTAGGGTTTAGAGTTTAAACTGTCCTTGGGATTTGCGTTTTGGCGCTCAGGGTTACGAGTTCAGGGTTTAGAGTGTTGTAAGGTTGATGTTTTGGGTTCAAGGCTTGGGGTTTAGGGTGGAGGGCTCTGGGTCTAGGGTTTAGGGATTTAGGGTCTTTGGGTTCAGAGTTGGAGGTTTAGGGTTTAGGGCTCTTGGCAAACAGGGCATCGGATCGATATGGAGCTTTCATCTGGATTTCGGAGTGCTATGAGAGTATACGGTTCGGATATATGATGTTATGGGTGCTTTTGGGATTTCGGGGTAAATGAGGCTTGTGATGTGAATCTAGCTCAAGGGCTTGGTATTGTTTGTTTACTACACTCACCGAAGAAGTACTTCATGCGCTTTCGTACCAAAAACTTCGATGACCGGGCAAATTTGAATGGGTTTATTCATAGCCTTAATAACTAGTAAAAACTGCTGCAACAACACATCCACTGTCTGTCAGTAATCAGTTCAATGCCTAAAAGAAAGGGCGGGTATACTTAAATGCCCCCTCGAACCTGAACCCTAAACCCTAAACGCTAAACAACATAAAGGAAACCTACAACCCAAAACCCCAGAACCCAACCAAGCTGTTTCTAAAGCTCTGACGTAAAAGTAAAGACCCTGTGCCTCAATAACCCAAAACCCGCAAACCTGAAACCAGTCACGTTCTAGAGTCCTTGAAGAACCTGTATGTACAATATGGTAAATCTCATGGACGCCCTAAACCCTCAACCCTAAGCCCCTAAAGCGTAGAAGCTGTAAAACCTCATAGAGCCGCTTGTAAAGAACACGATCGGGCTCTCTGAATCAGCCTCGGGCAAACCCCCTTTCCTAAACGGGAACCCTTCTTTGGAGGATCATGGGACTTAGTAAGTGAGGTTATAAGTACCTTAATTCGGGTTCCATATTTGTAACCCTACCAAGTCCCAGGATCCTTTAAGAAACCCTAACCCCCCCCCCCCTTAGATCCCTTTATAGATAATTTGAAGGAACCCTTTCAGGAGCCCTTTAGGTAACCCTGCTCCCATCGGTAAAACCCCCCAGGAAATTCTCAGCGCCGCACTGCCGCCCCACCACGAAGCGCTTGCTTCGCAGGTTCTCGCAGATTGCTTGGGGTTCTTTCTTCAGGGCTCTGGCCTTGGGTTTTGGGTTTGGGGTTTGGGGTTTCGGGCTTGGGGTTTAGGGCTCCGGGTGTAGGGCTCAGGACCCAGGGCTCAGGGCGGCTTTTGGGCTTAGGGTTTAGGGTTTCGGTTTAGGCCTATGATGTCGGAATTGTACGGTTGCAGGAGGTCCGAGGTTCTCTGTCTGGATTTCGAGAAAAAGGTTTGGGGTTCAGTTTTACTGTGCAGGCTTTCGGCTGTAGCTCCAAACGCTATCTTTGACGGCAATGGAAGCAACAAGACCAGCAGCAGTGTCAGTGGCTAAACCAGTAGCAGGACCGGATCCGATGCTTTTGAACCAAAACATCGTGCTGCTTTTCCTGCCGAAAACTCAAAGCACTAAGAGCCCCTCTGACACATATGGGGGTTTCCGAAAATAGGGGACCCTACTATAGTACCCTAAATAATAGGATTCTTATTATAAGGACCCCAACAATAAGGTACCCTAATTTTCTGAAACTCCCATATCTGATCCCCAAACCCTGAAAACACCAAACCCTACAACCTTAAACCCCAGACCCTCACACCTGGGGCTCACACCTGGGGCATGTAGGTCAGTCAGCAGGTGAAAACGACCCGAACTGCGACAATAGAGGCCCGCAGTATACACCACTAAGTGCTTCTACCCACCGGGAATTTCGGAGCGTCCGAACAAAGCACGGCAACATACCACCATTCCCGTTACTGCCTATACCACCTATGCCCGTTTGCCAGCACCACGTAGACTGGGCTAATCATATCAAGCTACACAGCTTGCGGCGGTCCTCTCATCACATCTGTCGCACTGCAGACGCACCCAACTTGGCTACATAATATGCGACCTTCTCGGGGTGGCCCTGCCACGCATCTACGTTGCTTGAGGAGGACTGTGCCTAAAACCTAAACCGCATGCCGAAACCTTATCCACAACCCCAGAACACCAAAACCCCCTGTTCATCCCTCAACTCTGAACTCTTATGACACCCCCAATACCATAGCTCTAAACCTCTAAACCCCTGAACCTTAACCCGGTAGACTCCAGTAGACTCTGAAGTCCTACAGCCTGAAGCCAGAAAAGGCCTCCAGGAAGGCCGATGGATGTGGCGCCTGCAGAAGCTACGCTGTTAAGGGTTCTCGTTACCCAGAGGGTCCAAGTTATAGTATAGCTTTTGCTTTTGGGGCCCAAATACCTGCAAAGTAGCTGCCACATTACTGCTTAGACCCTTTGGGTTAAGGAATTTCAAGTTAAGATTAGGGCTCTTGTTGAGGACAACTATTCGAGTTAAGGGTTCTTGTTAAGGACCTTCAAATTAAGTTAAAGGCTCTTGTTAAAGGCTCTTGTTAAGGAAATCAATTCAAGTTAAGGGTTCTTGCCAAGGAAACCAATTCAAGTTAAGGGCTCCTGTCAAGGAAATCAATCAAAGTTAGGGGCATAGTTGGGCTTGTCTTATGTAGATATAGGTTTAGGGTTTAAAGTTTAGGGTATATGTGACAGGCAAGCCGATCGTCTGATACAGGCATGGGACACGTGGCACACGTAAATGTAGATGGGCATGAGGGCCTCTGTGTTGTAGCCGTGATGGCAGCAGCACCTGTGCCTGCCTCATAGTGTGTACACGTCTGCGCGTGAGTATGCGTGAGTGTGTAGGTCGTTTAGGGCTTGGGTTTAGCGTTTAGGGTTTAGGGTTAGGGTCATCCACCTGTCTCAGGGTCATCCACCTGTCTTTGACTGCATGTTATCTTCGTGCGTAGCCTTCTGCAGTTGCATATTGGACAAGACCTTCGGAACAAGGCCGAAACGGTTTCACCTTGTCAAGGTTGTTAAACAAGTTTGGGATCGGAGATCTGAGACAAGACGCCGGAAAATGTTAGATTGCGCCTAGGCCCTATACCCCAAACCCGATTGCACCTAGGTCCTATACACCACACCTGATTGCACCTAGGTCCTATACCCCAAACCCTAAGCACTGAAATAGCCAGTCCGCTGTTGATTTGCTTCATGGCTCCAATCTGCCCCATTAAAGTCTGGTATTCCCGCGGCACTGTGGCATCAACCCTAATTCATTTAGGGTTTAGGGTTTAGGGGTGTAGGGTTCCCTAAACCCTGAGTCCCAAAAAGCATGCTAAACCGGCCTCGCTTCAAACTTAAAGCCCAGCCGCAGAAACCACCAAGCTCAATGACCCGAAAGCCGCAGGCCCAGCATGATACAGAACCTAAACCACCAAGAAACAGAGTCGCAGAAGAAAGCAGTAATAGCCATTCAACAACCAAACACAAGCAGCCACAACATTGCCAACATCGTAACATACCACCGAACCCTAAACCCTCAACGCCTCGGAAGCCTAAAGCCCGACCCCACAAGCCGAAACTCCACCGTTCAAGTCACACCATGACCTCTGTCGGCAAGGAATCTGCAGCTGCCCCGGCTGTCGCCATAGCCTCCGACTCCAAGGGCAAGCCCTCCCTTAAGGACGAAATGAACCCCAAAAGGTTTTCGGGTTCATATACCATATGGGGATTCATAGTATAAGGGTATAGGGTCCCTACTTATAAGGTTCATTTGGTCCCCAAGGTCAGCTCTAAACCAAGCGGTTTTGGTCTTTGAGAAATCGGATCTCAAAGGGCCCAAGTAGTAATATGGTAGCTACTTTGTAGGTATTTGGGGCCCCAAAAGTATATACTATACTATGAAGCCACTTTGTAGGTATTTTGGGCCCCCAAAAGGGCTCGAGAACACCCCCGTCAGGTGGGGATTGCTTAGGGCCCCAGTGCGCGCAAAGGCCGCACGTCTTCGAAGCCATTGGGCTTCGGCATCCCCGCAGCCCTCGCTGGCACAGGCGACTGCGGAAGAGGCGCTCGACATCGCGTCTACGGATTCAAGCTGCTGTGGCCGTGGGGTTACCTCCTCGTCGGCCGGATCTAAGGGGCGTGTTCAACCACCACGCGAAGCCGCCGCCAGAAGCCTTCTCCATGGGTAGGGGGCAGAAATGGGAAGGTGGCAGTTGGCAGCAGCAGTCCTCTCCTGGATCATATCGTCTGTGGCGAGGTGCGCGGCAGACCCCCAAAGGGGATGGGAAGGACAAGCAAGCACCGTCGACGAGCAGATTCCCAGCCTACGACGCCAGCGCCGGGATGCATGCGCACAAAGGAACCGGCAAGTCTGGATGGGCAGACCAGCGGGACATGGACCCCGAGGCTGGGGATGGAGGCCTGACCCAAGTTTTGCAGGCTGCCTTGAACAGTACGAGGAAAACAGAGCAGCGTGTGCTCAGCCTTGGCAGTGCTGTGAGCAAGCGAGAGGAGCTCTGGCGGAAATACGAGCAGGATCTGGAGATTTCTTACCGGCGCGAATACAGCCGCTTTCAGAAGGACATGGCGAGATTACAAGACGAAGCCAATGTGGCCCAAGCTTCGGCAAGGGCCGACCTCTTGAGAGTGTGGAAGACAGGCGGAGTTGTGGAGACGCAGCAGGACGACTTGAATGTCGCGGGCATGCTGCAGTCGTGGCGGAAACAGGAAAGCAACGACGCATCCGCGATTCTCCAGAGGGCAGCTCAGGCGGCGATGGCTGCAGATGTGCCCATGGCGGATGGACCCCCGTCGAGAGCGGGGCCGCCGCCCGGACTCCCGGCAGCACATGGACTCCCACACTTTGGGGGCGAGGGCAATCCGCAGGCTTGGCATTTGGATCCCCGGCAGTTTCCACCGGATCCCTTTATGAGCGGTGGAGCCGCAGGAGAAGTGCGATTGGGCGATGCAGGGCCCAAACCCCATGCCGAGGCCTACCACGACCCGGTTCTCCGAGACCCATACATGCCATCCCCAGGAAGCTCTTTCTTAAAGGCATCTGCATCGATCTCGCCCAATGCCAGGGTGGCGCCNNTTGGAGACGGCGGCACACACCGAGCATCTGGGAGGGGGCATCGCTGCCAACCTCATGATGAACCGCGCTTTGCAGCCCTTTGGGGGCCGAGCTGGGCTCATCCAGAGCATCGACCCTTCCAAGCCCCCGGTCTCAGCGCTGATAGAGGACGACGACGAGGACCTCTCTCCCAAGACTTCGCTGGACGGGCCGCATGGGCCGACGTGACTGCTGAAGCTGAGGTAACGCCTCGCAAGGGGATAGACTTCATGGCCAGAGCGCTGGTGGGGCGAGAGAGGACGGGTGCGGCCTACTGTGGGTTCGGCAGGCTGCCTCGTTCCTCTGTTCCCGTCGGCGGCTTTAGCTGTGGATTGGTCAATTTCCCTGGCGGCGCGTTACCCGCAAGCCGCCTTGGTCGTGCAGTGATCAGTTTTGCTGTGTACAGATTGTACATATTTTCATACCAGTTCAGCCAGGTGTGGTTTTTGCAGGACTCCCCTTCGCAGACCTGTCTTCCTCGGCCTCCCCCGTCTCCTGGACTTTACGAGCGGGGTCTGGCCCTCGCCTTTGGCCCGCCGAAGGCCAATCCTGCGCACTTCCGTTGGGTTTTCAGTTCAGGGGCCTAAGAAGGTTATCGGTGGCTCTGGGTTCCTCTCCTGAATTGATCCCCGGGTGCGTTCGGACAGCGTTGACAAGGTTTCCTTGCCCAGCCCCGCTTTCCTCGGCCTGCCTTACCCTT